TTTCTAAATTTCAAGTTCAACAGTTAATTAAGTCTCAAAAAGTTTAGTAATAGTTTCAAGTGAAAGGTAGGGATATGAAAAATCCTCCCCCATTAAACAGATAAAAATTTTATGCTTGATCTGGTCAATGCCAAGTTGAATTAATTTACTGAAATTTTGGAATTGAATTTGATATCTAAAAAGACCACTTCAAATCATCCTTGTGGATACAGTTATATATATATATATATATATATATATATATATATAACGCTATTTTCTAGGCATTTTTACAACATACTAAGCCGGGCTGTGATTCATTCACACGATTTTCTTATTCAATACATGCATTTAAGAATTGCCTCTCTACTGAATGGGTATACAGCATTAATCAGCCTCTAGTTGACCTAACAGTAAGTTGCTTTGAAAGAATCAAAACAAGTTGAGTATTATAGTTCTTCGTTAGGCATTCTTTTTTAAAGTGTAAAGTGTTAGTCTTTAAGTTCACTTAATTTGCACGTTACTGTAATGACCACACATATTAGTAAATGCTTCACCTGATGAAGAGAAAATCAGTTAACGGTAAGAGTGGTAAGGTGAGCTTATAGAGTCTGGAAAATTTAAATTGTCTCAGGTGATACTGAACAATCATCTGTTTGCGTATATAGTTAATATGGTTTAATGAAAAGGATTATATGTAAGTAAGCTTTCAATGTTAAATATCATCATACTTAATTTAAAGAACGGAACCAAATCAGTCGAATCTAATATAGTTATTGCAAGTAATTGAATATTTCAAGTATTGATTGATGTGGTATCCTGGGTCATTGTGTCAAACATGATGAACGCAATTTGAGCCACAACGATTCAATGTCCAAAAATTAGTCCACTTTAACCGTTTAATCATTTTAATTTGTTACAAGGAAAATTGAAATGAACCAGATCGAAAGTGTTCTCTTTGGAGTCTTCTAGGCTTTTGCTCGTATACCCCAATATGCAACAATTATGCCCGTGATTTGTCCTAAAATCAGGACATACAAGTAATATTTAACACTGTTCTTAAGTTCCAAAGAAAACGAAAAGTAATGAGACTTCGTCCAGTATTTGCCTCTGAGAAACCAGTCACATCAAAAACTTTATTCCTAAGTTCATCAAGCTTAATTTATTTACATATTTGTTTACCTACAAATCCGTATGATTTTCTTGTTAAGCTAAATATATTTTAGGCTAGAAGAAATGAATTCATATAAAAGGGCGTTTTAACGAAGCTAACAGAACTCCGAAGGTCAAATATTGTTTTAATAGTTGATTAGTGACTAATAATAAATCTTGTCAATAATAAAATGTGCAATTATAATAAATTTCAGAGTCAGAGGTGATGATGTCAAATTATTATAAATTTTTTAGTCCATTTAATTTGCATATTCGAAATTTTAACTTTAACTAAAAAATAGATATGAATTGATTAAACCATCAAGTGAATAATTTTTGGTTAAAAAAATCTTGAAATACCCTAGACGACATTTGGAAATAAGGTAGGACATGACATCGCCTTTTCTACGTCAAAATATGCAAAATAATGCAGTTTAATTTCAAAATTAGTATACGATATAGAAGTTATTGAGCGATGAGTCTTGAATTTCTTTAAATTGAAATAAAACGCGTTACTACAAATGATCAACAGCGTAAACATTGAAAGGCACGTAAATATTAGTACAAATTTTCTGTCTAATTCACTTTAGTTAAAATTTGCTTCTATTGCCTATGGAAAGTATGCCCTTAATCAATTTAAAACAGCACTTGATAAAAAGTTCTTTTTCTCTTATTTATTCATAAAATATCAATATAAAATATGGGGAAATTTTAATGACTCCTTGCTGTAGTGATGATCTTCTAAAGGCATCACATAGATACATGACCTTGAGGATAATTCCTTCATGTTAATAATTCAAAAGCTATATGTGGGTGATCACCATAAATATGCAAATATGGAAGATGATAAGCCGTTTGCCATCAAGTTAGAACCTTCATATACTACTCAGTGCAGTCAAGTTATTTTGCTCTTGTAATGAAACCGGTAATACCACTTTTTCTGCGGTAATCAGAGTTCTAGCCCATAAAACAGGAGAGAAAGCAATTATCAATTGGAAAAAGTACGAAACTAGAGAAACTAGAATATTAGCGTCATAAACACACTCCGATATATTTAGATCTGAGGAAGTGAAATTTAGCCTAGGCAACGCGGTTAAAATGGTTTAAGAATATTGTGAAAAAAATTTTACTTAAGCAATTTTTATTAAATCGTAGACCAACTATTTCAACTACTTAGACATTTTATCACAGCCGTAATTCTTAAGTCTACTTAGTCCAGTCATTGCACTTTAAATAAAAAAATGAAAGCATTCCAAATGATATTAAGCTTTATCTGTTTTACAAGTCAACCTTCACTTTCAGCCTAGATATATCTGTTTAAACGAATAAGTAGAAAACCGTTTTTTAACAGGGCGAAGTGCGGCAATTTAAATAATCACCAGAGTTATGGCTGAATAATGGTGAAAAGGTGCACAATACCAAACTTTTGTCACAAAGGGTTCATATTTATTTATTAAAATTTAGGAAACCCTTTTATCACAATCAATTTTACTGAGGATAGCAGTTTAGGCAACGCAATCGAATCAATATCATACCAACCGTTTTGAAGGCAAAATTTAAATTCTTAAATAAAAATGGTCACGATGAAGAATTTTAATCGATCAGCCAAAATAAGTTTAAGTTTTGTGTGGAAATTAGGGAGTTTGAGTTTCCAACATCGTGGTACTTGCTGTTATCTCAACAAAACATTTGAGTCAATATCGTCTAAAAGATAAGCAGATAAGCCGTTCACGAATTTTTAACACAAATATGGAATTTTGTAAAAGTAAGATGTAAGTAACTCGTACAATAAAAATTAGAGTGAAATAAGTGAGCATTATTGTCCTGATTTTGCTCTCCATCAATAAACTGTTTTCACTTTTTAATGACACTTATGGAATTAAAATCTCTCAATCCTTGTTTCCATGAGCGACTTTAATTAGGGCTGTCGCTAGTAAATTTGAAATCAATATATCTTTTTTCCAGGAGTGATGCAGTAGATGGTGAATTAATATTTTAGATTTTCATTGATAGTCTTAAGGCATCGAGTTCTACTTGAGTTGCTGATCAAAGAATATCACTTGGACTCTCTGTGGAAATTCGTCAAAATTAGCAGAATACACGTTACCTGTTGAGATTCGAATTCAAAAACCTTAATTTCATACTTACATTTGGATACGCATAGACAACTTTCGATGACTTCTCCAATCAACTGAATATAAGAGGAATAGGAACCACTGATCCAAAGTAAACGAACATTCCAAATGATTAACTGGTTAATGATCAATGAGGTATAGACGCTGGTATCAGATAAAGTTAATTTGTGATGGTAAGACAGCTAAGGGCTTGTTTTTCTTATAATCATTAAGTAAAAGTCAAGAGTGATTAGTTTCGCTGGTACCCATAGAGAGGCTAAACTAAAAGTACGATTATTAAATGCAAGAGGCAACTATGATAAATTCTTGACAAACTTTACAATGTGATAATATATTTCGTGAGGTCAAAATGTTTAGGAGTGAAATCAAGGTCGTGCATTTGTTTACAACTTATTTTCCTGAAACTTGGATTAAAAAAGTTAGCGATATTTCCACAATTAAATTAGATGAATAGAAAAGTATTGATTCAGAATAAAGGAATTTTTCGAATGACTAAATCATTAATAATTAGTGAGATATAGACGCTGGTATCAAACAAAATAGACTTGTGATGAAAAGACAGTGAAGAGCTGATTAACTTATAACCATAGTTACATATGGTGAGGCTAAATTAAAAGAGAGATTAAAAATTTCGAAACTCGAAAAACTGCGAGAGAGGTCGAATTGGCAGGGAGTAAAATCAAAGCAATGTATTTGCCTTCAATTGCTTTACCTAAAACCCTAATTAAAAAGAGAAGCGTTATTTCTAAAATTCGATTTAATACTCGAAATTTCATTGATGATGCATGATAGCCATTTTGAAGTGCACAACGCTGTCATGGCTAAACAATGAAATCTCATGCACGCTCAGCAAGATTCGAAGGTGTTGTGACACCGCTTGTTGAGTAGGGGGCAGGTGGTGTTATGAGTTCAAAGACCTCCCACCCAACCGCCAATCAATAGTTCCTGCTTGGGTTAACAAACCATCATTACATTTCAATGACTAAACTCTGTGGTAGATCTTTACATCTCAAATAAATGTATTCCTCGTCTTACGTCTGACGCTACTATAGGCTTAGTGGTGGCCTAAGCCAGGGAGGTATTCCAAACTAAGGAAACTTGCCATAGAGATTACATTGCATGAGTGTAGCGATCCGCCACACAATGCGGACCATTACATTAAATTTAAAAGTAGAAAATTTCTCGATATTGAATGGCATCAATTTGTGTTATTTCACAGGCGTGTTTCAACCCAACGAATATTTATTAGCTCTCATTACATTAAAATAGGATAAAATATGTGCAAATGTATACGAAATGATATCCACATAAATATCGTTTCTATGTGCTTCATAACTGGAATTAGGGCACTAAATTGTCGATGTCTTACGAGCTTGCTACGAAAACGTTATTTAATACGATCCATAAGGGAAAGCTTTAACCCTCATTTGAAGTCGACTTTACTTGTGAAATTATTATTATTATTATTATTGTTATCATAATGAAAATTTTGCATTTGTCCAGTGACATTACTATGGTTTATATAATAGAGAAAGAGAAATGAAATGTCAAAACGACAGCCAAAAACACAATTGAAAAGGAGGATTAAATGTTAAAGTGGTATGATGAAATTTCCAATGAGGCACATTTGGGTAAATTCAGCAAAAAACGGCTGAGATAGCCATGATGGCGAGAATTGCCTTGAAGGGAAAAATGAATCGTTTTTTATTGTGATTAACAAAAAAACGTGGGTTTTTAAAATTTATTTCCTACCTGAAAACAGATCACCCCAACTACGAGATACAGTGTTAATTGTAAATATTTATCAACAAAGTCGACAATTTTCGCCCGACATCCTGTCACTTTACTTGAAGCCGCCTCCTTCCTCTCACAAGTCTTTTGAATTGAGTTGTTAGATATGTTACAGCATTGCAAAGGGAGCGTTCCATTAGTGGCTAGAGATGATTTCATAATTAGTTAAAGTGCATTTTTAAATGTTGGCAAAATAAATAAGTAATTACAATTAAAGTACTCACGAAATTCCGCGTAACCGTCAAAGCCACAGCAAGTTCCGTTAAACTATGAAGTGTTAAAATAAATATAGAATGAATTTATTATATTTTGCAATTACAATAAATATAGTCAACTCTTACTGTCATAATTATATTCCACACTGCAGTTGCTACCACACCTTCGCTGGAGGTCATGTTATAATATTGTTGGGACTCGTTAATGGCCTGTATTATTACATTAGGCATTTTCGATGGACGGGAGAACAAGTAATAAACTGCCCCCAAATTAGCAGCGATCAGTAGCAATAGGACTAATCCATACTGGAAAGATAAGTTCAATCAGTTTTGATATATGTATATTCAATGATAATTTTAGCATATAATAGCAATATGATAAACATACACTTATCAATAGTACTTTCGATTCACTGCAGGCCGAAATAAACCCATAAATACAAAGTGAAGCTAAAACGAATCCCACAGTCATCAACATAATGGCAAGTCCATCTGAAATAGTCATATATTCAATAAATTAACTATTCATACTTGAAAAAATAATTGCTTTAAGTTGGGCTCTTACCAGCATTATCAGCCATGAATTTGACCAAGTACTGCATGTCATTATCTTCAACTTTAGACTGACCCAATATTTTCTCAAGAACGGATTGCACCACAGACTTCGAATACCTTAAAATTACACCGAAAATTCCCACAGCAAGAAATGCCAACTAAAATGAGAAAGAAAATGAAGAATTAGCAAAAGAAATGTGAACTAAAAGTGTAAGGAAACGAAGGATTATTAAAATTCACTTTGGTCAAATTAAAATAGACTTCTTATTGACTTACGAAGCAAAATCCGTTTATTGATAGTAGAAAGCACGTTATTTTCATCTGAAATTAACGTATTTAGTAATAATTAACTTTCTAAAAGCGAGTACATAATACTACATAGAGCATGTATTGAACGCACATTGGTAAAACGTAGAATAGGATTTATCTGAGAACAAAACGAATTTAAATATGTTGGAATGTACTAGCAGCCAGTAGAATTGACCTTTGTGTGGTGAGCCAATAATGAAAGTCAAGTGATCATTGAAAATACACAAAGGCGACTACTCATTATATGATTGGAGAAAAATTGGATAGAAAATTTTGGAAACAGTCTACAGGGAAGCTCCCAATACGATGTCTAACTGTTCGAGCACTTTTATTTCTGGGAATATTTTATTTTCATTTTCTAAGATATAATAATGAAGTGTTGTAACGAAATCATTTGTTTGATTCGGTCTTCATGCGGCATTGGAGAAATTCCCTTTTAGCCTCTGTATGTACAGAACATCTTTACATAACTTGAAAGATTTCGTAACTTTACAGACTGGGATTTACTCAATGTGAAGGGCCGGAGCACCACGTGATGCTTCTCCATAAGATGGTAGAAGTTTGTTCATGGCTTCAATAAGTGGGCCAGATAGACGATTCGAATCAGAGAAGAGAACTGATAAGGCAATAATTTGTGCCACCATGAGATTTTTCAATATTACTCCGTGCCATATTAAAGAAGAACTCACAGTCGGTGCAATCATATTGCCAAATATACAAATGAATAATGCCATGTTACTCACAATTTTAAGTAATATATATTACAACCGCAGCATGAAGCAATACACTCAACGAGGCACAAAGTAGCGAGAGCGATACAAAGTACATTGAGAATGATTGAGATTCCGTCTTCAAGATTGTCCAAACATTTATAAAAGCTATTATCTTAACAAATCCATTTTGGATATTATACCAAAGATTCTTACTAGCGTTATCGACATTGGTGAAAAGGCGTATAATTCCAACCGTTTCCACACAAGAATTTCCTTTTTTCGTCGAAATTTTAGGAAGCCATTTTTTCACAATCAATTTTATTGATGATTAGCAGCTTATGAAACGGGATCGAATCAATATCATGCCAACCGTTTTGAAGGCAAAAATTTGAATTCCTAAAAAATTTTTCAAAATGAAGAATTTCAATCGATCAGGTAAAATAGGCGTGAAAGTATACATTTATTATGATTGATTTTATTTAAATCACATTAACAACCTGCCTTCTCTAACTTTTGATACTTATTCTTACATTTCAAAAGTTCAATAGGTCCATAACGAATGTTTTTGAAATTTTTTAATAGTTTCAAGGCAAAAAACGCGTTTAATTTATTGATACATATTTTAAAAATCTATATTTGTCTTAATATTTTTGTTTTAGTGTTTTAATTTAGCACATCATACGCACTGAAGTGTTATCAAGTCTTCTGGTTTGCTAAATCGTGATTATTCTGGAAGTTGGATAATTATCATGACATCTCATGATGCAAGAAATTAATTATAATGACTTAATGGGAGGGGGGGGGGAGAGGGCGAAAGGGGAGGGGGTTTGTTTGAATTCCATATCAGTAGTTACTGCTTGGATTAGCCGTCTGAGTTTGAGATAATAGAGAACTTTCTTCGATTTACCACTTTGCTCGCTTATAAAGGCTGTTAAAAAGGGATAAGATCAAGAAGCAAAGGAGTGTATCTCGATCTCTTTTAACTAAAAAAAAAAGACTGGAAAGATCTCGTAATCAACACAAATCATACTCGCAAACCTGGTGTATTTTCGGAAACTCTAATTAAGTGTCTTCTGTGGATTTAGACCTCATTTTGGAGTTTGCTGAAATCGTGTTGGAACAAAATATGACAATTTTCCAAGTAAAACAAACTTATAAGAATTTCAGTTCTCATGTTTTTTTGTGATTGGTAAGCTTAGCGAAGTTTACCTCTATGATTTTAATCATTATTAAATAGACAGCACTTTTATCTTACTTTTACCAAACAAGCTAAATTGAGGAGAGTATGCAGTTTAATTGTAAGTAAGGATCATCATTTGGTAAGCTGAGGTTATAGAAAGCGTGCTTTTGCTTCTTATTAGTTCGGGTATTTTTGTTGAGCTTTTTACAACATTCCTCCTCAAATATATGTCGATCTCCTGATGGAAGACGACAATAGTCTTTCTAAGACCTTAAATTGAGTTAATAAATATGCTATTAATGGTATTTTAAGATGTGGCGATTATTCATCTTCAAAAATTCACTTATAATTGACCATATCGGATTTTTTAATCTTTCCTATTACACCTTGACCGTAAATAAAGATTCTGGGATAAAAGGATCGATTCATTATCTTCTCAGTTGCCCTTTAAGGTCGAACACATGTTTTCATGCTTCGAATTTGTCAGCAATGATTTTCATCATAAAGGTATAGAATTGAATTTTCTGAACTCTACCGCGGAGCATCATACTATAGATAGGAGTATTCATAATATATGGAATTAATTAAAAAAAGTCTGTTAAACGGCAGTTGACTTCTCACTTCAAGCTACCATCACCCCACTGTATGCCATATTCTACCATTTCCACAGTAATCATTTTACCTTTTCTCTGCCTCTGTGTCTGTCTCTTTTACAACTGTAAACCGCTCTTCTGTTCCCCACCCATCGACTTTCTGTTACCTTGACGTTCCCTCCCTCTGTGAAGCCCAAAGTCAGCCAAAGGGCTAATGATAACTATCAAAACGCCTGCCATTTGAAATAAATAAATAATCAAAATGTTTACTATCGTTATTAAAATTTGTAATTGAATAAAACGACTTTTAGGTCCTCTTGTTGGCATTGAATGCTTGTGAAAGAATTGACCGTGTATGATGAATA